TGTGTATACAGTTAACCGACAACTCTGCATCAGCTGCAGTGGGGGGTGAGGGAGGCAGGAGCCAGTGCGCATGGGGGCTGTTTCCTGTGAAGACTCCCACTCCCTCTCTGCTGTCTCCCACAGAGGCAGCAGTGTGTGGGTGGGAGGCAGGATTCAGTGCTCGCAGGGAGCCATCTTAAAAGCTGTCTCCCAAGAGCTGCCTGCTCCCCTGTGCTGTGAGGCAGAAGCACAAGGGTGGGGGACAGGTGGAGCTGGCAGGAGGAGTGGGGAGCCGGCTTGTGTAAATGCGTAACTGCTGAAAATTTCAGTGGTTACATGTTTACAAAAATAAACACATTTTAACGTCCCATTTAACACTGCTGATATTTTCTTTTAAAAATTACTAATCAAAATCTCTTTTTTCTTCCTAAAGCCGTTTCTTCCTCTTGTGAACCTCCACTGTTCTCCAGATGTCCACACATTTCTGTGCAAAGCATTTGTGCCAGCCTGCATTGAGCAAATATATGTGATTCACCCTTGTCGAAGCATTTGTGAGAGAGTGTATTCGGACTGTAAACAATTGATAGACACTTTTGGGATGACCTGGCCTGAGGAACTGGAATGTAACAGGTATAACACCTTTTATTCTAACAGGCAATGAAGTTGACATTTTCAGACACACCAGATTTGACTCATAGGCTAGTTCTACACTACAAAGAAAAGTCGGAAAAAGATACACAAATTGTGAACTGCATTTTGCGTATTTCCTGCTTTTCTTTCAAAAGAGGAAAAATTTGGCATGTCTACACAGCGCCAAATTTTCAGAAAAACCTTCTCTTTCAAGCCATCCCTTCTTCATGGAACAGGTTTACAGGGATGGCAGAAGAACATGTCTGCTTTTCCAAAAAATTTTTTGGAAAAGCAGACGTGTTCCTTGGACGCAGCATAGAACTGCAGTCTAGACATAGCCATAGTTGAACTGAAAATTTGTGGCAGAGAATGTGTTAATAGTTGCTTCAGAGAAATCCCCATATTAATGGGGACCCTGGAAGATCATCTGAGCAAGAGAGGAATCTCTCTTCAAGAAACTTTATTAAACTGATTTCTTGGATTTCTGGTTGATGATTTTGTCTTTTGTTAGAATGAAGTCCTGCAGATTGGCTAGTAGTATCATATATTTCTGTCTTCTTCCTTATCTGTAAAATGGGATAAAAATACTTGAGAGGTTTTATGAAGAATTGTTGTTTAAGGACAGAAAAGACTAACTGATCATCAAGTCTGTCCTCCATTACTTGGGAGGGAATTCTGCATCCCAAAAAATAAAAGTTCTGTGCACAATATTTTAAAATTTGGCCAAATTCTGCAAATTGTATTTGTCTGTAAATATATGTGGAGGTTCCAGCATGGCAATGGGGAGCACAGGCCACTGGCTACATGGACTTGGAAGATCACCCTACAGCAGGGCTACTCAACTTCAGAAGCCCTGGGAGCCACAATGATACTCTCAGCACTTGCTGAGGGCCGCAGCTTAAGTGTTTCATATATATGCAACTAGCTTCTTTCAGACTGATGGGCATGAATATAAAGATTAAGGCAAGACTACACAACATGCAGGCCCCATTTAAGTCAGTTCTGCTGACAGTAATAAAATGCAATATTTACCTGATTTCCACCCATATGACAAAACCTTTTATGAGCAATGATAGTCCAGGAATTTAACTACTAAAACACATATCAACAGAAGACCATTACATTGACTACGTTTTTGTTTTGGCTCCCACCTGTGGGCCGTGTGGTGAGCCCTGCATAAACCCAAACAAATGGGCCATGGGCCACATGAGGCCTGTGGGCTGAGTAGCCCTGCTCTACAGCCTCTTCCCCAGGTCATGGACTCAGTAGAGGGCTGCACCTGACCTTGACATAATGCAAGGGCCTACTCTGCTCCAAGAACCTCCCTGTCTATGACCTGGACATCAGATTTGGGGAAGACAGGTTCAGCCCAGGAAAAGCTATGTACATACAGGGATCAAGGTGTTGGTTGAGATGGTTTTGTGTGGCTGGGGGGGGGTGGGGGTGGAAAGTGTGGCACTTTGTGTGTGGGCAGCTTGTGGGGGGTGCATGGGTACTATAACTGCAGAAAAGTCCAGGTGAAGGTAGTTGAAGATTAGCATCAGGGGGTGAGGTGTCTGGGATTGAAGGAATGGAATTTGGGGGGAATGTCAGGTTTGGGGAGGCTCAGTGGAGAGTCTAGAAGCTAGGTGGCTTGGGCTTTATGAGATGGGAGTTTGAGTGGGGGGGGGCTCAGTGAGGGGTGGTCCAGGTCCAGGGGGTGTGTGTATGAGAATTCAAGTGTATGGGATTCAGCGAGGGGTGGTTTGGGAGCAAGGGTGGGGATCTGGATGCAGGGGTTAGGCTTGGTGGGGTGGAAGTTTGGGGGGGGGGGAATAAGACATGATGGGTCTGGATATTGGGTGTCCAGCTGCACAAGTGGTGGACAGGGGAAACATCTCCCCGTACAGTGACTCCTACCCAACAGTAGAGGAGTGATGAGGCAGGAAGCAGGTATGCAGAGATTCCTGCCACCATGGGAGGTTTTTTGGGGTAGGACTGATCTAGTCCTCACTGCTCCTTGCAGCAGCAGAAGTCCTATCATTCTCCTGCCCCCCTGGACTAACAGCTGGGTCCAACACAGAGTAGAAGCTGCCCGCAGAGTTGTCTCTGCCCTGACCCCTGCAGTAATTTACCTCTCCCGACAGCTGCTCTGGGTGCTTGAAATGATGCGCCCACTCTGTTGGGGAAGGGCATGCGACCACTCTTCTATATCTCAGGTCATTAACACTACCCAGCACCATCCACACACTAAATCCAGCAACTGAAATTTAGACCCAAATAGTACATCCTCCCATAGACTAATTGTATAGTGCTATGAAATATAAATCACTCTGTCTATTCATCAGTAAGTACCAGAATGCTTTTATTTTAATCTTAACCATTTAGCTGAACAAATTAAACCTCCCATTACTTTATCCATAATTACTTCATGCCAAGATTCAGTATTTCACAAAAATCTTATCTTTGTTTCTTCTAACTCCCAGAGAGATCATGATAAATTCATAGTTCTTAGGGCCTGAAGGAATCATCATCATTTAGTCTGACCTTCTGCACTCCTGTAGGCACTTCCAGACCATGGTAAGTCATCTCTTTACTGTGCACATCCACAGGGAAGAGAGTCTGGGTTTGTACGGACACAAAAGCAGGGGACATGCTTAGTGGCAAAATGGAAACACAGTATGGAGGCCTATGGGATATTGAAGCTCTGCAGCATTTTACGTCTGCCACTGAGCACAGCTTTAACCCTCTCTTAGAATTGTTCTCCAGAAGTAGCCATCCTAAAATCTTATTCAGTATATCTTCTAAATGATATTTTAAAATCAAATACTTAATTTTTTTCCAAGAACCATTGCTTCTCTAAATTATACTACTAGTTAACACTATCTTCTACTCATATGTGAAGTGAGGTAGTATTCTCCATTAAATTCTTAACTAGCACGAAAATACCTTTGGAGTTAGCAGTAAATGGCATTGTAGGCCAAAGACTGAATGAGCATAATTAGTGTTAAGAGTGACAGGCACTAATGAGAACTGTAAGATCGACAGGGTTAGAACAGGGGCTGTTAATGAGTTTAGAGAGGGAGTTGGGAAGGGGAGTGAGATACATTCGCTGTTCTTTAACATCTTTTCACTACGCTCCTTCCCTTCAAGGAGGCATTTAATAACAACTGAGGAATCTCTCAGACGGAAGGCAGGTATGGATAGTGATAGGTTTGGTGCTGTTACCTGCACAGCACTTCATCCCAGAAGAAAGAAAAAGGATTGCATCTGCATTAAGTGCAAGCTGGTCACCATTATGGAAGAAAAAATTAGAGGACTAGAAGCCCAAGTATCGACCCTACGTTCTATCAGAGAGGACGAAGACTTCCTCGATAGAAGGCAGCGTTTAATCCTGCAGGCACAGCAGGCTGAAGAGCCACTCAGGGCAGTACAAGACAAGGAAGAAAACTAGCAGCATGTAACCTCCAGAAGGAGAAGAAGGCCAACTCAGGTATCCCCCATTCTTGTAGAGGTAAGTAACCGCTTTCAGGCTCTCTCTACAGGCACTGTGGTGGAGTATGCTTTGGCAGGGACCTCTCGGGGAAGAAATCAGAAGGGAACACCATCTACCAAAAGGCATGGGATGCATAGTCCTAGGGATGGCAGTTCCACGACCACCCCGTCACCCTCCAAAAGAAGACAGGTGGTGGTGGTCGGGGACTTCCTGCTAAGAGAGACGGAGTCCTCCATCTGCCGTCCAGACCTGCAATCTCGAGAATTGTGTTGCTTACCGGGAGCTCACATTAAGGATGTGACCAAGAGTCTTCCGAAAGTGATTAAGCCTTCGGATCGCTACCCCTTCCCTGCTTCTCCATGTAGGAACTAACGATACGGCCAAGAATGACCTTGCGCGGGTCACAGCAGATTACGTAGCGCTGGGAAGAAGGATCAAGGAATTTGAAGTGCAAGTGGTGGTCTCATCCATCCTTCTGGTTGAAGGAAAAGGTCTGGATAGGGATTGTCGAATTGAGGACGTAAATGCGTGGTTGCGCAGGTGGTGTCGCAGAGAGGGCTTTGGTTTCTTCGACCATGTGACTCTGTTCCGGGCACAAGGATTTTTAGGAAGAGATGGTATCCACCTAACCAAGAGAGGAAAGAGCATCTTCGTGGGCAGGCTTGCAAACCTAGTGAGGAGGGCTTTAAACTAGGTTTGTTGGGGGATGGTGACCAAAGCCTTCAGGTACGTGAGGAAGTCGGACATCAGGAAAAATCACAAGGCAGAACGAGTAATGAAGGAGGACCCCTGATTCGGATGGACAAGGCAGGGAGATCAACTGGTTATCTAAGGTGTTTGTACACCAATGTGAGAAGCCTGGGAAACAAACAGGAAGAATTAGAAGCCCTGGCCCAGTCGAAGAACTATGATTTGATTGGAATAGCGGAGACTTGGTGGGATGACTTGCATGACTGGAGCACTGTCATGGAAGGGTATAAACTGTTCAGGAAGAACAGGCGGGGGAGAAAAGGAGGAGGAGTTGTATTGTATGTAAGAGAGCAGTATGATTGCTCGGAGCTCCAGTACTTAGAGGGAGAAAAGACTGTTGAGAGTCTATGGGTTAAATTTAGAGGTGGAAGCAATAGGGGTGATGTTGTGGTTGGTGTTTGCTATAGACCGCCGGATCAAGTGGATGAGGTAGATGAGGCTTTCTTTGGACAACTGAGAGAAACTTTCAGATCACAGGACCTGGTTCCCATGGGAGACTTTAATCACCCTGACATCTGTTGGGAGACCAATACAGCACTACACAGACAATCCAGGAAGTTTTTGGAGAATGTTGGGGATAACTTCTTGGTACAAGTGCTGAAGGAACCAATCAGGGTCCATTGGATTACTCATAGTATGAATGGGTGACAACTTGAGAAGCAGTGATCATGAGATGGTAGATTTCAGGATCTTGAAAAAAGGAAGCAAGGAGAGTAGCAAAATACACACCCTGGACTTCAGAAGAGCAGACTTTGACTCCCTCAGAGAACTTATG